GAGAATACGGAGGAAGTCCTACCTTATATCGAGTACGTATGAGTTTAATTTTTCATATATATGTAGCCATTTTAAATATTATTACTCCTTATGTTTATCTTATATATAAGGGACCGTAATGCGTGTTTTTTTCGTGTCAATTGTAGGGAACATATGATCCACATCAAGACCACTTATCCGAAATTTAGAAAGAGAACAAAGTGGCTACAAGATAAGTACAATAGCACTTTCATTCAATGGCTACGCTTTAAGGTATATATGTTATTGAATGACATATTGAACTTTTAATTTTCTTTCTTTCTATATGTTAGATTGAATTAATATATATGTTTAATTTGCAGGTTCAAAGTGAATTTAATGGGGAAGATTATAATGGCATATCAGAAAATTTGAGGTGGTTAGCAGCTGGTCCAAGCATGGTAGTGCCATCATATAGGAGCTATCTTATTAATGGTGTCAAATTTAGCACCAAGGCACAAGATGATGTGCGAACTGTCCAAAATAGTGGAGTTTATTTACTTGCACATACTATGCAAGTTGCTAGTGCCAAGGATAAAAACCCTATTGTCTCCAATATGGGTTTTTATGGGGTTATTCAAGAAATTTGGGATCTTGACTACCAAAAGTTTAGAATCCCAGTCTTGAGGTGTGATTGGATAGATAACACTTTGGGCCTTGTAGTCGACGAACTTGGATTTACCCTTGTAGATCTGAGTAAAATTGGACATAGGAATGACCAATTTGTTATGGCTTCTCAAGTCAAACAAGTATTTTATGTTGACGACCCAATGCATCGTGGTTGGTCGGTAGTGTTATCAATGCCTAATAGAGAATATAATGATGTTATTGGTGATGATGTGCTAGGTGATATTAGAATTGAGTGTGAGCCATTTTCTAGAGGGATACCAAATGTTGACACATTTGATGACCTAGTGGGTGAGTTTGGGAGTGAGAATATTAGAGATAGGTGTGAAGATATATGGATTGATTGATTGTTGTAATGTATGACATTAGTTATGCAGTTAATTGTATGATATTAATTCATAGCTCTGTATATCATTTTAATTCCGATCACATTTTCATTCTGCAAGCTTTGGGCACGACAAATCAAAAATTAAAAAATAATCGGTTAAAGCTGAAAATACAACGGTCAAGCTACAAAAATCGCAAAAAGAGACGTCTAAAAAACAACCAACGTCGGGTTTTCACAACCGACGTGGAATGACAACGCAAAAATGAAATAAAAACCGCCATTTGAAAAAGAAAACACATCGGTTAATTATAATTCATTTCAAAACGGTTAATATTGTTGTTTTTACGTCAGTTCAAGTAAATATATGCCATGTTATATGTTTTAGACGTCAGTTTTTTTATTTAATGAACGTAGTATTTATTAACCACGGCGGTTTCTAAGTTTGACACGTCGGTTTTGTTTGATTTAGAGACGTTGATAAAACTATTTACGTCGGTTTTATAGTTGTTTTTGACAATTAAAATTATTTACACGTCTGTTTTTAACTACAACCGTCGTCTATTATAGTCGAAAGGTCTCTTTTTATGCTTTTATGTATCAAATCGACGTCGGTTTTAGTTTTTTTATGACGTGTAATATATTAGTCGTTTTTTTTGTGTTCAAGCCGTCAAAATCATTTTCAACGTCTGTGGTTATATAAAGGGTCGTGGTTATTATTGTTTTTACATCAGTTGAAGTAAATATATGCCATGTTATATGTTTTAGACGTCCGTTGTTTTGTTTAGTGAACGTAGTATTTATTAACCACGACGGTTTTTAAGTTTGACACGTCGGTTTTGTTTGATTTAGAGACGTTGATAAAACTATTTACGTCGGTTTTGTAGTTGTTTTTGACATTTAAAATTATTTAAACGTCTGTGTTTTACTAAAACCGTCGTATATTATAGTCGAAAGGTCTCTTTGTATGCTTTTATGTATCAAATCGACGTCGGTTTTAGTTTTTTTATGACGTGTAATATATTAACCACGTCGTTTGTTTTGTGTTCAAGCCGTCAAAATAATTTTCTACGTCTTTGGTGACCGAAAGGGTCGTGGTTATTATTGTTTTTACGTCAGTTCATGTAAATATATGCCATGTTATATGTTTTAGACGTCAGTTTTTTCATTTAGTGAACGTAGTATTTATTAACCACGACGGTTTCTAAGTTTTACACGTCGGTTTTGGTTGATTTAGAGACGTTGATAAGCATATTTACGTCGGTTTTGTAGTTGTTTTTGACATTTAACATTATTTAAACGTCTGTGTTTTACTAAAACCATCGTCTATTATAGTCGAAAGGTCTCTTTTTAAACTTTTATGTATGAAATCTACGTCGGTTTTAGTGTTTTACTGACGTGTACTATATTAACCACGTCGTTTGTTTTGTGTTCAAGCCGTCAAAATAATTTTCTACGTCTGTGGTGACCGAAAGGGTCGTGGTTATTTTTGTTTTTACTTCAGTTCAAGTAAATATGTGCCATGTTATATGTTTTAGACGTCAATTTTTTCATTTAGTGAACGTAGTATTTATTCACCACGACGGTTTCTAAGTTTTACACGTCGGTTTTGTTTGATTTAGAGACGTTGATAAGCATATTTACGTCGGTTTTGTAGTTGTTTTTGACATTTAACATTATTTAAACGTCTGTGGTTTACTAAAACCGTCGTCTATTATAGTCGAAAGGTCTCTTTTTAAGCTTTTATGTATGAAATCTACGTCGGTTTTAGTGTTTTACTGACGTGTACTATATTAACCACGTCGGTTATTTGCCGTCGTTATTTCATGTGTGAAAAGACGGCGGTCGATTTCTCGTCGGTTGTAAACCATGATACACGACGGTGGATTACCGTCGTCTATTTCGTTTTTTGTAGTAGTGGACCTAAGCTCCATTATACTTAATCAGATAATATGTAATTAATCTTTCAATTTCTGAAAAAATAAAAATAAAAATTTCCTTCAATTTCAATTTCATCATATAGATTAGCGCATCGCACAGAAATTTGCATGTTCGATTTTCTTTGATAGGAAATAGAAATTTCTCTAACATCATATTACTACTATAATTGCAATTTACATGCTACATACATACGTGGTTAATTATTATTTCCCACTCGCACTTGAATATTATTAAGGCCTATTAGTCAATTATTAGCAACCCCAAAACAAAGTTTGAGTTGCTTGCTATTTGTTTATTGCATTTCGCATTTGATTTTGGTGGCATTTAAACGTGACATTTATAAAACTATAATATGACAGATGTCACTCTATATAAAACGATGGCCATAATTTGAGTTATATTAACTTGTCATTGTGCCTCAGATTTGGGTTTCCAAATCAAAAGCGGATGTATTTTCAGTTCGGGCCGCGGGCGGGTGCTCTTCGTTTTCTCCAGATCCCTCAATTGAAGTTTTCTATATATATACAAGTGAGACAAGATTGATTTTAATTGGGTAATTCTCTAGCTTTCACTCATCTCCATATTTGGCTAGCTAATATTTGCTGGAGTACGTATTCAATATTATTTGGTGCTAATTAATTCTAGTTTAACAAGAGCGAGCGAGCTACCTGGGTTTGTGAATAATTCGTACACTTGAGAGAGAGGATATTGCGTCACAAATAAGCTTGAGATATGATCACCCCGGTTGACCAAGTATCAATTCAGTTGAGTTTAATTTCTTTATACCTTCTTCAGCCTACTTGATTATTTTCATCACTTATATATGTTGAAGTCTTAGATTCTTATTTGGATTTTCTGGGAGAAAAGAGAAGAAGAAAGGAGGAGACTGCTGAAATTCTTCTCTGCAAAACTGAATATGCTGGAGCAATATGAGCTCAGCTATATTCGTCTATATTGTCAAAACGATTTACATAAGGACCAGTACAAATATGGTCTACCAATGTGTGTATGACACTTGGCTCTTCCTATAGGCATTTCAGTCACAAAATTCCTAAGCTGTTACTTAGTCACAACCAGCTGTAATACTGTAAAACTGTAAAAGTAAATCTGCAAGCCAATTTACACATCAACACTCCCCTCTAAATGGTTTGCTGATTTCACTCCAAGCAGCTCTCTTAGATTTAATGCAGAACCTTTCCTTTGGTAATGCCTTCGTGAAGATGTCTGCAACTTGATCTTGACCTTTGCAATAGATCAGATCCACCGCTCCTTCGTGAATTGCATCTCTGATGAAATGGAACTTTCTTCCTATGTGTTTTGACCTTTGATGGAACACAGGATTCTCGGACATGGCTATAGCAACACATGATTGGTGTAGCTTCCCTGAATTAGTTGTATTCTGCATCCTGAATTAGTAGAAGTTTCTACATTGTTGAGAAGGCCCCTCTTGATGCTTTTGCTGTGTAATGCTTATGAGCCCATTCCTACAAACACAGCCAAATACAATGAACCTACTGCTCGAAAAACCTCTCTATTGTCTGCCACACACATATTTCAGCTAAACATGCAACAAGGAGAAACAAAAAGGAAAAAACAAAACATCAACAAGACAAACTAATAAGAATGGATCATCATCTTAACAAATAGAAAGAGAGAACCATTAAACTAAAAGAAAAATTCATGTGAGAGAGAGAGAGAGAGAGAAAGAGAGAGCAGCTAAAAGATAATATTGAAGATAAAGTCAGCAAAAAAAAACCTGGAAACTTGAACCATAGAAAACAATTATAGTAAGACAATATTGAAGATAAACTCTGCTGATATACTAGAAACTTAAAAATGAAGCTAGCTAAATTAAATCTGATGGGTTTATATTACCATAGAAAACAATTGTAGTCAGATAAGCTAACCTCATTGATGATGAAGTCGAGGATAACTGATCCAGGATGACCAAGCCTGCATACCTAAATTAAACATTGTTTTACTTCCTTGAACTAATAATATAATATATATATGCAAAACTATAACTAATTATGTCCAAATGACATACCCGTTGTAGGCTTTGAATGCCACGTTCTGATAGCCAGTTGAACTCAAAGTCTGCGAAGATTTCTCACCAAACTTATAAGGAACCACATCATCACCTGTAATAAATCATATCAATAAATATCTTCAACAGACAAACATGTATAGGTTAGGTTATAAATTTCACAGCAGAACCTACAGGAAAAGAAGATGCTAGAGCCAAGGATGTAAAAGATATATAAAACCAACAATATATGTGTATGAGAGGTCATGATGATTACCTTTTCCATGTCATAACAAAATCGGCAAGGAGGCAGCACACACTCAGATTGCATGGGTATGGAGTACCATTCCCATATTTTCTTAGAGTAAAGCAAGTCGCAGAGTATAAGGCAGTAGCTGCACCATTTCAAACACAGTATATCAACAACTGGAGAAATAATCAAATGCTAAAATCCAGAGAGAGGAACCTACTGTCATCAGGCTCTGTTGATAGCAAATTTGCAACATGTGCTGCAGAAGCATCCAAACCTTCTATATCATCTGGAGCATCTTCTGAAAGTTCTCAAACATCAAACCCTGTTTTAAATCACAAAAGCAGATGATATTTGAATTTTAAACCAACACTAAACATAAAAACACAATTTGAATAACAAATGTCTGCATTTGGTTACCAGATGGATGAGAACACAACCAAGCCCTTGGAGCCAAAACTCTGTAGAAAAATAAGCAAAAGAGAATAAACAAAACAAAAATTTTAACTTTAAAAAAAAAAATAGAAATCAAACCTGGTAAATTGGTCTAATGTACCTTGAGAGTTAAAACATTTTTTGTCGTAGTGGCAGCTTGTGGAACTAGAGTATTAGTCGTAATGGCAAATTGGTCTTCTAGATAGTATTCTCTGCTTCTTCTTTACTATGCAATGCAACATATGTATGTAGATGATCTGTATGAGGGGGATATACCATTTATCTCATTCTAAAACAATCTCAAACAAGTTTAAAAATCGTTAACAAAACATATTCTTTTAAGAGTAACAGAACATATTCTTATTTGCTCACCAAACTTGCACATCGGAAACACATAATCTCTTGAAGTAAATATAATCAAACAGAACATATTCTTATTCATAATGAAAATCACAACCCAAACCAAATGACAGTTAGGAGAAACTAAGAATTTAGGAAATTAGGGCACGAAATTTTTGGGAGATAATCAAACTCAATGTTGAACTCAAAATCTAACTCAAATCGAAATCAAACTTGAAATCAAAATCAATCAAAACCACAATTAAAAAAATCGAAATCAAGCACAAGAATAGAGAGTTGCACCTGAATAATTGAGAGCAGAGAAGCTTCCAGTTGAAACCTAGATGATTTCAGAGAGAGATTGAACCTAGAAATCAAAACAGAGACGAAGAGAACACTCGCTCGCTCGACGAAGAAGACGATCGCTGCTCGCTCTCGCCGAAGAAGATGGTCGGTGCTGGTTCGCTCTCGCCGAAGACGACGATCGCTGCTCGCTCGCTCATGACGATCGTACCAAAGTACTAGCCTCCTGTTTGAGTAAAGTTGAACAAATAAATTTATTTTTTATTTTTAAAAGTTAATTGGTCACTAATGTGTGATAGAAAAGAAGTAAGTCCATCGTTGCATATATGTTGGTCACTAATTAGGCAATTTAAGTTGTTTTCAGTGATTAAATTTAAATTAGTCACTATTTGTCACCAAATATGGTCATTAAAAGTTACAAATTATGTGCCAATCATTTTAAAAATTACAAAGGTATGTACACTACACTAAATGCACACTATTTGTGGTCATTGAGAAATTGGTCACTATAGATTCTACATACTTTTTTTCTTGTAGTGTACATGTGGACAATTCTATCTTTATTTAAGATCAAATGCTTGATACATAGCCTGACTAATAATCTACACGTTATCAATTACATGTCTGAGAGTCTTACCTTTATTAAAGATCAAACGTTTAATATAGAGCCGAACTAATTATCGACACATTATCAATTACATGTCGATAGTCCCTATATGTATGTAAATGTCACCACAACAGTGATTTGATGGGCAGAAAGTAATGACGTAGTTAGTTCCACCATTGCATGTAAATGTACCCCTTTTGTCATCATAAGCATAGCTGTAAGCGTCGGGGCATGCGTTATGGAATATCTCAGAGTAGTTTGTCGATGGGCATGTCTCTGGAGTGTTTTGAGGCGGAGTGCAACAGTACTGTGGCTGATTGAATGCAACACATGCGCTCAAGCAGGCAACCACACTCCCATCAGAACCTTTCTTTTGCAGCTCACTCGGACAAACTGCGTTCACGTTCGCCGGGCAACTAGCCGTCTTGCAGTCGCCGGTACCGCCTTGTGGAGTCACAGACATGGGCAAGTTGAAGCCATCAACAAGGCTAACGTCGTAGAAATCTTGTCCTCCATCTGCTGCAATATTTAATTCCGCTAAAGTTGTGGGCGGGATGGCACCGGTACCGTTGCACGTGACCTTATCAGAGGCACAGTCTGCGGTGGCGCAGACGAAATTTCCAAAGGTGTTCGTGTAGCATCTAGTTCGGGCCCAGAAGCGGCCGGCCCACGGCACCGGAGTGTCTAGCTGGAAGCTAGCTTGGGATGCTAACTCGAACCCTGTGGTTGATAATTGAGGTTTTCCATCGGAGGTTAAGGTTCCTGGCCAGACCGTGTAGGGGCAATTGTTTTTGAAAGAAATTGTCGCTGCATGTGCACCTGCCATGCAAAATAAACCACACTTAATTTGATGCAGTAATCACAAACCACACTTATTGTGACCAAATATTAAATTAAAATTAAAGAAAATAAGAAGAAAAGATCAATGAGTATTTCTATCGTTTGGCCAAAATGAAAAACTTAAAGAAAATAAGAAGCTTGTTTACCTCCGAAGGAAAGGATGGTTAAGCTGAGGCTGATGACAACTACTAGGGTCTTCACCATCGGAATGTCTTAGTTGCTTTGCTTCGATTTTGATGAGCTTGGGCTTTAGTTATATAGGCTTTCATCGGAAACCATGGAAGGACTTTTGCCAACTAGGTTGAACTTAGCCATTGTGGAAAGCAGAAAAAGGGAAGAAAATTAAAGAAAATAAACTAATTTAGAAGGGAAGCAAATACAATTGCCTTGCCTCTAAAACTTTTGAGGTCCCCTCTTTATAGACCAAGGCCACAGCCTCATAAGTAGATGAAGCCATAACTGATCAGGGTCTTCTTCCACCTTGTTAATTTACTCAGAGTCTTCTTCCACCTTTCCAAGTCTTTGAGATTAATTCCAAGTCTTTTTTTATCACCCCCATAATTTGGAACTTCTAGCACGCACATTGATTGAACATGTTTTGGTCAAGATATTTGAAAGCTTCACATTACAAAGAAGTTGACGTCTTTTATACGGTATTTGGAGCTTCTAGCACGCACATTAAAAAACTAAAATAATGATAAAAGAGCAATTTCCCCCTTTTTCCCTTTCAACTAAAATAATGATTATTGAAGTGAAATTTTCCTGTCCTTTTCAATATCATGTGAACAATAGTATTATTTGAAGTCTTTATATCAGTTCAATTTACGTTTGAATAGACAATTCAAAATTGAAGTCTAATTTCCTGTCCTTTTCAATATCATGTGAACAATAGTATTATTTGAAGGTTGTCCTCTTGTTTCTATTTATGTATTTATTTTAATTTATCAAAATCGTAGAACTTCATTAAGAAAATCAGCAAAACAGTACATCAGCTTCTAAGCAAGAATCACGAACAGCGAAGGAGCCATAATGTGACCTCATTAAAACCTTGCCTTAAAAAACTCCCAAAGAAGGCCTAACACAAATGGTTGCCCTAACAAATCCAAGAAGTTATAATTCTAGAATGCCCAACATGCATATGCTTTTGCCTCTAGCCAGGAGAGAATACACCATAAAAAATAGTATGACGAACCTGGAAATTCTTGAGGTGAACTCACGCATACACCGATGGCGGGAGGCAACATTAACTCACATGAAGGAAAATCAGGGCTTTTCTCATAAAAATAAATTTTATGACAGAGAATCCAACAAATCACTGCCCCAATGCAAGAGACCATTATGCAAATTAAATTCATAATCAAAACTAATGCAAAAGAGTATTGAATTGCAGGCTAATTTGGTGGGAGGAAATCAAAACAATAAACTCAGGAACCAAGAGTTAATACACCCCCACATAACACGTAATCTTGTAAATAGGGGTAGTTTTGGAATCCAAAAAATCTAATAAATCAGATTATAAATTATATTAAGTAACTTGCTTAGTTGGATCCTAGTCATGGGTATTATTTGAAAAAAATTGGGTATTTTAAATAGAAAAATAAAGAGAAGAGTTGTATGTGATTTAAAATAAATTTTATGGGTCTAAGCTCAATTTACTATTGGGTGAGCTAGGATTTTTTTTTTTTTTTTGGCTGGAAGAAAAGAAGCCATCTGGGCTATAGCCCAGGTTAGCCAAACTTAGGATCCGTCCCTGCCCATTTCATGGAAGTTTCTCCACCTACAGATCTTTAGCATCTCATTTTCCATTTCACTTTTCAACTGATTTATTATTGAGAAGGACGGGTAAATGAGTAAACATGTTGAGATGGGTCAAAATTGAAATTGGCACTTAGGTGACGAGGGGTAAATTAAATGACACTAAAAAAAAACCACAACAAACTTCACACACTTTAGACCTTGACCAATACTCTTATGACTAGTCAACTGTCAGACATGAATAATCACAACCAAGAACATACACAGAGCATATCAATATGTACCTGCAAGCCTAGAGAATTACTAGTGATAACCTAGGCACTCAGAAAGACCCGTCAATCTAGGCATTCCCTGTGCTAGCAACAACTATGGTGAAAGTGTGTGAAAGCATCATAATCAAGTAAGCATCAGACAACAGAAAATGATGACTAGTCAACCGCAAGAACACGAACCCAGAAATACATGTGATGACTAGTCAACTGTCAAGAACACAAACCCAAAAAATTTAAGAGATGCAAACTAGAAATTTGTTCACCTAGAAACCCACAATTGGGAAAAACTGGGGGTCATCAACCGACCAGGCAATCTACTAAGCAAAAAGATTCTTACAAATAAATACTAGCAAGCTCAACAAATCCTAGGTCTATTTAGGAAGATGTGCTATACCTTTCCTTGTGCAATCTTCTTCTCCAGCTTAGCAAAACTGACAGGACCCGCCCCGGATTTCCTCGGAAACCGAGACGGATCCCGTATATGATCCGACACCCTACAGGTGCCGGGCCCACTTACTAAGAACCGAGACCTCTACCAAAAATTTTGGCAGTCTCCCCTGTAAACAGGACATATCCAGAAAAATTTCAACCTGTCAAAAACACAGATATTTACAACCCAACAGCAAGCATGCATTACACAAAGTATAGTGTAATAGAACATGGCCTACGGCCTCAAAATACCAAATCCTAACAGGCGATAACAGAGCAAGTCTACAGAGTACAACAAACTAGCAAAAATGAAGTTTTACGTATTTACATAACACTGAGGCTCCAAGAAAGCTCAAGTACTGCGGCTCGTGATAGCAGGGGCACAAAACATGGCACTCCAGCTCGTTCCAGTCAACTACTGGCTGTGGGGCGCAAAACAGAAAATTGTGAGTGGACAAAACAAAATTTAGTTTCATTTAAACCAAAGTAATATAACCCCACTGTTAGAAAACCATGCATGAAAACAATGCATTAAATCCATCATATACATATATAAATAACTTGCTCAAACCCGAGCTAAATCCGAAATCCAGTGAAACTTACAAATTAACCCACCCAAACCTTTCCTTACAAATCTCAAATCAAACTCTCGAAACCCGTGCCCACCGGCACGACGAGCGGGGAAGTATCCTCACTCAGAAACAACAACAAAGGAATAGCTATAATATGAGAGATATTCTCTATATATATATAACACACCTAATTGTACCGGGGAAACAATCCAACAGGGGATTGTTGACTAGCTCACAATTATCAGCCCTCAAACGGACTATGTGGCTAGGGACGAGCCATCCAACTGGGGGACTAACTCTCAGCCAGCACGTACGGACGAAGAATCAAGACCCGTACGCCTGTAAACAGTTCAGACTACCCAATTAAGGGTCTACAGCGGCACCCCGTTAAGGTATGCCCCGGGTTCCGACATTTCCAAGTATCTCACAATT